GATGAGGCTATCAACTATTTGGACGACGAGGACAGCAGTGAAGGTGCCGTTGAATCAACGAGTCAGCAGCAGGACGAGGCGGAGGAGGAACCGACTGTGAAGAAGACGGAGGAGGAGTCCACGGTGGGAGCGCGGCAGCCCACCCTGGACGAGTTGATCACCAGTAGCGGTGGCCAAACCCCGACCGAACGGCTGCAGGCCTATGTCCCCATCCACCGACCTCGAGCCACTCCGCGCGAATGGCGGCGCCCCGGCGAACACCAGCAGTTGGAGGTGCCGGCGGATTTGCACGCTGACGGTCTCCCCGCAAGTAGGATAAATCACACTTGCCATACCTGTTTGCATCTTTATTTGTCTTCTTGTCTATTTTAAACGCATCAGTTGGCCCAGTTGCAGCTTGTTTAAACATTCTTCAGTTGTGCGTTGGCTCATCACATTATCTGCAAAGGCCCGAGCGAGTGCTGCCTGCATGCCGGACTCAGCTGTGCCCAAAGTCGATGAAGAAGAGACAATTTTAAAGTGTCGTGTCTTCGCGGACCTCTGGTCAAAGGGCTTCTGTGTGACCGGCTCGGCCATGAAGATGGGTGGAGACTTTCTTCTGTATCCAGGTGAGAACTGCGGTTTAACTGTCGCTTGATCGAGTGGCCACTTTTAGTGGTTTTTTGAACTGAATTACATGTGATCTTGGCAACATACCTTCTATTCCTCACATCAAGCCCGTGTATTCTATTTTTTACCTTGTATTCTCGGGTTAATGTCAGCCAATCAGACTACTTTGGTGCTTCTCCAACCGAGTTCTTGTTTTGCAACGTCAAGGTTTACCGTCAAGTGTTTGGAATATTTTGTTTAGTGGTTACCTGTCCTATGTGGGTCATTACAAATAATTACTCCACATACTTTATGTAGTCTGGTAAATGCTAGGTGAAAACCAATTAAATCACAGATATCTTTATCGAGAACGACATACAGGACCGTAGCGGACCTAGAAGACGTTTGTTGCGTCACAATGCAAGCGAACATGCATGTTCAGCGAAACAACTGAGAAGAATAAAATGCGAACGCCGAAGCTAGAATTTTACTCACCTGACATTTAGAGTTCACACTCGAGCCCATCTTTAGAGACAGCGATATGTAGTAGTCCGATGCTGCCTCTGATGATAAGTTGGAGTGGAAATCCGAAAAGTTCGACAAATAACTCTCCTGTTCCAGAATTCGCGCCTGCTTCTCAACAGCCAATCGGTAATAAATAAGCGTAACGACAAATTGCAAATGCTGTAGGCTGGGGCCCCCGGGCTAAAATTGGACAGTCGTATTCTGTCTTGCAGTCAGCGCAAGTCTGTGAACGCCATGACCTTTAGTGTTTTTTGATCGCAGCTGGCAATATGCTGGCTCGTCGCTTAAGGGTTAACGGTTCCGACTCCATAGTCATCTTATCTCGGGTACAACCTCGGGCCTGCCCAACCGTAGGTTGTGATGTGCCTGACTGATGACTATAGACTAATCTTCAAAACGGCTATTCCATTTTCCCTTGTCGCTGCCGCCAAACCTTCTGAAGTAGACTTATTCGCAGAATACTATTGCCGACAAAGACGATGGACACTGGAATGGTCATTTCTAGTATATTAGCCGTCACCAGCCAGTCATTCCCAACCCCAAATGTGGCCACACCCGAGGCTCGAACCCGCAACTTGTTGGTTAGAAGACTAACGCCTCAACCACGGGTTCGTTATCCTATTGGTTGCCCTCGGATATATTAGCGTTATAGGTCGCGGGTTCAAGCCTCGGTGTTGCAACACCTGGAGGTGGATATGGCTGGCTGATGAGGGCTAATAAGCTCCTAATAGCCATTCCAGTCCCCCTAATCGTTGTCGGTGATGCTATCCTGACTATGAAGTTCATTGGCCACTGTGTGGCTACTGGCGGGGCTTGAGACTGAATCCCAAGGCACAAGGGGACGATTCTGTTCCATAGCGCGATCGGTGAACCTCCCACTGCCAGTAAACTTATTCGTCTTCGCCATGCCAATGCCTACGTGGAATCTCTGTGAGGGAATTTAAAAACACAGCGGGCTGTCCGCATTTCATTCTGATATCGGGCCAGACTGCTGATCGGCAATCCCGCGTGACTTAGAATATTAACTAACACTCATCGTCTTTGCGTGAAAATGCATCTTAAAAAAAAAACTGCAAATGTGCTGTTGGCATGTTCATGCTTATAGACTTGCGTATGCACACTTGTGTCCCAATCGACTCACTCCTTCCCTCTGTTGGCTTCTTCATCTCCCCATCCCCTCCAAGGTGACCCCCTCTTCTACCACGCAAGCCATATTGTCTGCGTGGCTCCTCCCACGAGCCAACTTAAACTCGCTCAACTTTCCACCTCCCTGCGGATTGCCAACAGTGTGCGCAAGGTGCTTCTTCTGGCTACTTCGGCCGTCAAGGAGGGGGAGGAGCCGATCATGTACACTTCTTTATATTGGACCGGCTCAAATAGTTCTATTACTCCCATTCTGTAAATAGTCCCTGCATACAAGTAAAGACTCATGGAAGAATATATTGAATACTCTGTTCTCCTCGTCTTTTCGTTTTCCTGTGGCTCTCCCCGCCCATACCCATTCGTTTCTTGCCGTTTGGCACGCTAAAACCTGCCGCCTCGACCTTGCGGAATCTCTTCCTGTGCTACTTGCATGACAAGCGCATGCTGCCTTACCTGCCCTACGTCTAAACATTTTCCAAGTGCGATCGGCTTCGAGTAGCACCTTCGTTTCTCTGGTCTTGGAGTCACGAACAGGTAAACGTTCGCTGGTGCTTATGACTAGCTGTAGAAAGCACCCTCCTGAAACGGCGGCCATTCTAAGTCCACCCCGTTTTTTTTCTCTGACACCTTACACTACCAGGTAATTGACCGCAACCACCAA